ATCATCATCATCATCATCATCATCTTCATCTTCATTTTCATCATCATCACCAACGTCACTTGTTTACCTCCATTTTGCTTGTCTTCCTGCCAGACGGGAGAATGTCTCTGCAAACCCGGCTTCTACGGGCTTGACTGCAGCCGATCCTGTCCGTTTGGTTACTATGGCGAGGACTGCATTGGCCGATGCGAAGACTGTTCTGAAGGCTGCGATCCCGTGACTGGTGCCTGCACCAGACACTGCCCGCCGGGCCGCAAAGGTGCTGACTGTCGGAAAGGTGAGAATTTGTGCCAGCCCTGCTTTACCATCTTCCTCCAATCCGACTAGAAGCAGACGGTAGATGCTTCTTGCCCAATTATCATTTGGATCTACTCGAATGTTCCTCGTGAAACTGTCCCCGAGACAGTCTGCTTTGGCTCAGGTGACAAAAGGCACTAAGATTTACGACATTTTAGAGCAAAAGTTGGTTGAAAGGAATTCGGGAAATGGTACTTCCTGAATCAGAAGGAGGATTTCAGAAGAGCGAAAAGTCTTCGACTCACCGTCCTGCCACCCTTCGATGAACACGTTTTAAGCTTCCGTATGTCCTGTTGTTGTTGTGTCCTGTTTATGAAATATTGCTGAAAATATACCAAACCAAGTGAAAAGTTGGTCGGCTGTAACCCCAGACGTTGTTATAGACACCCAACCTTGCGAGGTTAATGAGGAATCCCACGATTTGCTTGGCTACCTCCAAATTGATTGTTGAGCCCACTTCCCTTTCGAGTGAAAGAGTTCGGTGAAGAGATCCGAAAGCGGATCCCAATGGAAGACGACGGTGGAATCCTCGTAACCAGTTGTCGATTGGCTTTACAGAAGCAGTCTTGTTGCCACAGTTTCCGAGACAATCTGCTTCGATGCTGTCCGTCAGAGGACGAAAGAATGCTCAGCACGCTTTCACCAAAATCGAAGGAGATTGCCTCGGGAACAGCCTCAAAAACAATGTTCCAGTAAAGCCAATCTACAACTGGTCCTCGTCTTCTCGTGGAATCCACCTTTGGAACTCTTCATCACACACACACACACACACACA